TGGTCTGCTGGGGACCGTCTCCAGCAGACCAGGGACACCGGGAGCAAAGCTGGGGAGGCGGAGGGGCGCTGCCGGTTGGCCTCTTAAGGGGGGGTAGTCTTATACGGCGAGTATAAGACGAAAACCTATCTTTTAACTAATAAATTAGGGGGTCGTCTTATACGCCCAGTCGCCTTATACACCGGAAAATACGGTAGATAATGGTTGGTTTTTTGATGTTCATATATGCCTTTTGCAGTGATTGGGACCAAAGATCTGGGCTACCAAAGCTGGGTCTGTGTCATACTCCAGTCCAGAACAACCCAAACAAGATGATATAAGTGTTGGCAGCCACCTTGTGAGACAGTGATCCCACCCAGAAAAACAGACTACTCATAGTGGGGGCTGAGCGAATCATCTCTTCTGCACAGTTATTATTGCAACAGAACTGTTCTCCTCAAAGGTGGTAAGGGATAAATTGTGTATTGGGTTTTCCTCTGGGGAGTTACTATATATACATACTCTCCCAATTAAAAGGTGTCATTACTATTTCTTAATTATGATTATACAGTGCTCCATTTCTTCCCAAAGGAACTGCAGGGACACATTACATCCTTTCCACTCATGAATCCTGTGCCAAAACAATGACAAGAATAACTGATGTGTGTTTGTAGCTGGGATAGCATCTTAGTCCTGTGTGCAAGAGTCTAGTGTTTGCACCTGACTTTATCTGTATTTCTTCTTAAACTTCTCACTGTCTCAAGGAGCCCATTTATGGGATCATCAGTTCTGGCTTCACGTGGTATTTAAATTCCTGAAGGGTGGTAACACTATGAGAAGATTAGGTCTTGTGTGAATTTGTCCCCAAGGATGTCTCCATGAGGCAAACAACAAATTATCTAGCTGCAGCCTGTGAAATGAACTTGTAGAGAATTTGTGTCCTTTGGGTGACTTTTCTGCGTAACCATGAAGGGCTCAAATCTGCACACACACTTGATAATGTTAGCAGCTCCACTGATGTCAGTAGAGGTTGCCTGGATAAATAAGCACTACAAATAAGGTTTGCAGTCGAATCGGGTCCTGTGTGAATGACCAGAGATTGTTTACTAGAAGATGCAGGTGTGGTATGGTATAGCAGCTACAGAATATAGTGATGAAGTCAGAAAAAAAATAATGAAACCAATTGCCAAAAATATAGTGTCCACTGATGAAGTCAAGTAGCAAACAACCAGTCTGAGTTTCAACAATAGGTCATGTTAACCACAGCAAACAGAAGTAAAACCAGGGGTCAATGTATGAAAGGAAAAACTGAATTTGTAGCACATCTCTATCATTACTATTTATAGGAAGAATAGCAGAGGGAAAATTTACCTTTTGAAGATCATCTTAAATAGGCTCGTTCTAGGTATTCATATATATGTATGGATACAGAGGGGCTATGTCTAAACTGGCCCCTTTTTCGGAAGGGGCATGCTAATTTTGAAAGTGGGAATAGGGAAATCTGCGGGGGATTTAAATATCCCCCGCGGATTTAAATAAACATGTCCGCCGCTTTTTTTCCGGCTTGGGGAAAAGCCGGAAAAAAAGCGTCTAAACTGGCCCGATCCTCCGGAATAAAGCCCTATTCCGGAGGATCTCTTATTCCTACTTCCTACTTATTCCTTCAAAGTAGGAATAAGAGATCCTCCGGAATGGGGCTTTATTCCGGAGGATCGGGCCAGTCTAGACGCTTTTTTTCCGGCTTTTCCCCAAGCCGGAAAAAAAGCGGCGGACATGTTTATTTAAATCCGTGGGGGATATTTAAATCCCCCATGGATTTCCCTATTCCCACTTTCAAAATTAGCATGCCCCTTCCGAAAAAGGGGCCAGCGTAGACGTAGCTAGGGTGTGTGCGCCTGTGATCTAATTTTTCAAGTGTCGCAATGTTAGGGTGCTCAGCTAGAGACACCTTAAAAAGAAAACTGGTTTTCAAAAAGCGTTAAGCACTAACTCACCCTCTGAGTATCCAGCTCTTTTAAGTTGTACCAACTTGGGCACCCAAATTTACTTTCCTTTTTATATACAGGCAGTCCCCGGGTTACATGGATCCGACTTACATCAGATCCCTACTTACAAATGGGGTGAGGCAACCCTGCACTAGTTGCTTCCCCCCAGCAGACCAGGGAGACGCGAAGCTAGCGCCCCTCCCCCCAGCAGACCAGGGAGACGCGGAGCGGCTTTTCTCAGCAGACACCTCAGCTTGAGAATAAAGGACTGAGGGAAGTGAGGTGTGGGAGAATAAAACTGAGCTCTGGAGAAATGTTTGGCTAGAGTTTCCCCTATAATATGTACCAGTTCCGACTTACATACAAATTCAACTTAAGAACAAACCTACAGTCCCTATCTTGTACGTAACCCGGGGACTGCCTGTAAAGTATACGTGTGTACATGAATGGTTCTGGGCTTTTATGTGGAGTCAGGAGGAGATTAAATACCTTCTCCAAGGAAGAAATAAAAAAGATCAGTGGCCTAGCAAGTACCACATTCCTGAGGCTTAGATCCAGGATAGAATTTTGTAGCTAAACTTTTACCAAAGAAAGTTTAAAACTGACAAGAAATATTCCTGATTTTTTCAGAAGCACGTTTCTGGCATTCGGAGTGGAAGCTGAGGCCATGAGGACATTGGTAATTTTGGCTCTCACGTTCTCTTTGCAGCAGGTGAGGAGGGCCTCTGGATATTCCTGCAGTGCCACTGTGCCGTGTGCAATATAGGGCGGTAACCTTTTGCCTGCATCCACAGCAAAGCAGGAGCAATACAGCTTGTGTGTACCTCATTGAGGCTTTAAACAAACAACTCTGGCTCTGAAAGGCTAACATTCCAACCTCCTGGCTTGCCTACCTGATAGAGTTGCAAACGTACTTCAGCAGAATGGGAAACAAAGGTCACCTCTCCCAGTTACAGGAAGGTGTTTTACTAACGATTATGCAACACTCTAACACCTGCCACTGGGATTACTGAGCCCTCTTCCATCCTTATGTACTCTACTTCAAAACAAGCCAAGGAGACAAAAGGACAGAAGAGCCAACAGCTACAAAGTCTAAACCTCCACAGAAGTACAGAGCCAAATTTGTCCCTCAACCTCCCCATTGCAAAATGGGCCAAATTTTGTTCTTGCATCAAAACAAATCAGTAGAGCTACCAAAATGCAACTGGGAGCAAACTTTTTAGCAGTTGACTTGAAGGGAGTCGTAAGGGACAGAAAATTTTGGCCCTTCAAGATTTTTCTACATGGGAAATTGTCATTGGTTTACCTTAAATTGGCTTTTTAATCCATTTGGTTAAACTGGGGTACAATTTCTCTATAAACATTCTTATTTTGGTTTAGCTTAAACTCATTCCTAATTGACTGAAACAAAAAAAGGCCAGGTTTGAGCTGAAATAACTCTTCATCCACCTTTTGCACTGATTTTACTAAACTGCTAGAAAATCACACAGGGGTGGTATGTGTGTGGGGGAGGGGGCATGAAGGGTCATGAGCCCCTCAAATGGCCGTACCGGGCCCCATGATCTGGGGTCCTGTAGGGCCGAAGGTGGGCTGGGGGGCTAGTAGGGACCTGGTGCCAGCAGCAGGGGCACTCCAGCATTCATTGGTGGTGGTGGGAGGCAAAGCAGCCCCAGCCCTGCCTCTGCTTCTCTCAGCTAGCTCCTAAATATGTCCTGCTGCCACTGTTGAGTGCAGTGTGTGTGTGTGTGGGGGGGGAGTTCTGTCCTTTCCTCCAGCATTGCAGCCTGCGGGATTAGCCAGGGGCCCAGTGCTGGCCCCAGCCTGTTCTGCACCGCTGGCTCCCAACTGTGTTGCTCAGGAGGGGGCGGGGGCTTTGGGGAAAGGGTGAGG